GGTCTCGCGAGAATATTCTAACCTATCTGGGTCAAAGACAAGTTGGTTCCTAAACACGTTAATATGGGCTTCCACGTGTGGGATTAAGTCCGATGCGTCTTGAAGCGCACTGTGGACGGTAGCAACGGAGTCCGTTGTCGAAGTTGAGGCTGCGTCGGCATTGAGGTAGTTTACGTTCGAGGTGATGCGGGAAAGAGCGTCAGCAACCACATTGGATTTGCCCGGCTTGTAAATAAGCTCGCAGTTGTATTCTTCTATGCGCGCTTTCCAGCGTTTCAGCTTAGCATTATAGTTTCGATTGCCTAATGAGAAGGTTAGGGGTTGGTGGTCGGTATAAACCTTAATTGACGCGGCGCCATAGAGGTATGATCTTAAATTATCAAGGGCCCACACAATCGCTAGCATTTCCTTCTCGTTTACTGCGTAGCTCTCCTCTGTTTTATTCAGAGACCGCGAAATGTAGGCGATTGGGCGGTCTTTCCCGTTGTCGATTTGAGAGAGAACGGCTCCTATGGCATAATTGGAAGCATCGGTCGTCAAATGGAAAGGTTTACTAAAGTCTGGGAATGCCAAAACTTCTGAAGAGGCGAGGATGGTTTTCAAGTCATCGAAGGCTTTCTCGCCCTCTACTTCAAGTGAAATTGCAATATTCTTGGATTGAGATGCCTTGACCTGGGCATGTTCTCCTCTCGTGAGGTTCGTCAGAGGTTTCGCGACTTTAGCGTAGTCGCAGATAAATTTCCTAAAATAAGAGGTCATCCCTAGGAAACTCTTAAGTTCCTTCAAATTCGTGGGTGGAGGCATTTCTTTTATGGCTCTGACCTTCTTTTCGTCTGCGGGGATCCCATCCGCCGTTACCACATAGCCCAGAAATTCAACCTGGGTGCGCAAAAATTGTGTCTTTTCCAGGTTCACTTGTAACTTGGCCTGCCTTAATTTTTCAAATACAGCGCGAAGGTTGCGCCAGTGGGACTCGTAGTCTTTACTAAATACAATAATATCGTCGATGTATACGTAGCAAATCTTACCGATGTGCTCTCGTAATACGTCGTCGATCATTCTTTGGAAAACGGCCGGGGCGTTTTTCAACCCGAATGGCAGTCGCAGAAACTCATATTTCCCGTTCAGGGTAGAAAATGCCGTTTTGGGTATGTCGGATTCCTTCATGTGAATTTGGTGGAACCCGGACGTTAAGTCAAGGGTGGTAAATAGTTTTGCCTCCCCCAGACTGGACAAGGTAGATGTTAATCGGGGATGGGGTAGGTGTCGAAGATGGTGACTGCGTTGAGGCGTTTGAAATCTATCACCATTCGGTATTGTTTTTCCCCGTTTGGCTTTGGTTTTTTTGGGACTACCCATATAGGGCTATTGTAGGGGCTTTTGGAGGGCCTAATTATTCCCTCGCGCAGGAGCTCGTCGACCTGGTTTTCCACCTCTCCTCTCATGTTCGCGGGGTATGGGTAACTTTTTGAATATATGGGTTCCTGGGTACTTGTTCGTATTTCGGCTCGAACACTTGTGTCTACGGCCTCGCCTGGCGAGAGTGGATCAAAAATCGTGGAGAATTCGGAAATTAGGGATTCGAGGCATTCCTTCGCTTCTACTGGGTGTTCACTGTCGATTAGGGAGTGGACACCTAAGGAAGGCATGGCAAGTAGCGGAATTTTTATTCCTGGCGTTATCGTTAAGGAATCATTTTTCCTATCAATGACTGCCTTAAGGGATTTTAGGGTGTCGTCCCCAATAATGCCATGGAAGGCAGTTAAACCTGGGAGAACAAAGAAGGTGACTGGCGAGTCATTACCTATGGGACTGAAGAATGGTCCGGTTAGTTGATGCGTTATTTTTATCTCCCCCCCAGCGGATTGCACCGGGAAGGGTTTCGTCAAGGGCTTGCATCCCTCGGCTATCTGGGGGCTAATGAAGTTCTTATTTGCACCGGTGTCTATCAAAAACTGCAGCTTAGCCCCATCTTTCACGCCATACTCTATGTATGGAACGCTAGAGAGGCGTCGGCCATAAAATTTGCCGCCCCGCTATTACCAACCTCCGTGTGGGGTTGGTGGCCAGCCTGATCGTCTGGCAAGGCTTCACCGTAGTAAGCCTCACTGACGGATTTTTCTTCATGCTGGCTAAAAGCGGCTTCACCCGAGGATGGGGTAGCATTTAGTTGATACAGTCTTTGGGATTTCCGGAAAGGGTTAAGGTTAGATGAGGCGCTGGGGCTGCGCTTAATGCTCGGGTTATCGTTACCCTGGTTCGAGCGATAGGAGTGGCCGGACTGGTGGGGCTCCATTTTGATCGCTCGGGGATTTGAATATCTGTGCGGATGCTGAGAATTCCTGCCTGCGTCCTGGTACTGGTATTGTTTGTTATAGGAAGAGTAGTTAGGTTGGGGCCAAGAGTACTTTTGGCGGTAAGGCTGAGGGGATGAAAACTTGGTAGGGTATGTGACATGATTCATTGAGGTCAGATTCTGTAATTCTAAGCAGATTGCGTAGGCCTCTGGCAAGTTCTTTGGGCCGCGAATAACTAATAGCTTCGAGAGGTCACCGCTCAGACCTCTGATAAAAACGTCCAAGGCTCTGTCCCTATAGGTTTCGACGAGCGCGCTAAGAATCTCCGGGTTTTGGTTACCATTTTTAAGACAGCGTATTATCAGGGCAAAATGAGCATTTATTCCTGAGTAAAACGCGTCTGGTATTCCAGCGTGCGCAGATCCCGCTTATCGGCGTAGTGGAGCATCAGGACGCGTTTCGTCTCGGGCCAGTCGTTTTCTGCCACGTTGTACGACAAAAGGGTCGTCTCGGCACTACCCCTAATCTTTTGCCTAATGCTAACGACTATAGAACGATAGAGAGGCCTTTCCTTGATTATCTCGTAGTCCTTCAGAATGGCCTCCGCTCTACCCATCCAAGGGTCGTAGCCACCAGCTTCGCCCTCAAACACCTGCAATTCCTTTACACAATCTGGCAATCTAGCTATCTCTTTTAACTCGTACTCCGTACGAGCGGGGGTCAAGGGCTTTGATTGAGGAGCAACTTCGTTAACTTTTTCTCAAGCCTCCTCTAGGCTCGCTACCTTGTCACTAACCTTTTTCACATCCTCTTTAACATCGACCATCTGGCCAAGCAACAAGGCCAAGGTTGCCTCAAATTTGGTAAGTGCTGCCTTCATTTCCTCCATATTAAAAAAATCGATTCAAAGTCTTGTGGTTTTTTTTTTTTTTTAAATGAAAGTCTTGGGATTTTTTAAATGACAATGGGGTGACGGTTAAGATTTTGATTGGATATATTTTTATTTAATAAATTCGCTGAAAAAGCTTCACTCACCCGTGATTCGTGTAGTTATATTTGTGTTCCAGTTATGTTTTTCGTGTGTTGAGTCGGTCACTTACAAAGTGCAGATTCTAGAAAAAAAATTATTTTAGTATAGGTACAAATATTTTTCGTTTTAAAGCGGGAAGTGAATTTTTGCGTGTGTTCGAGCTTTTTATACTTGTTTCGTGGTTGTATATATTGTATAAATTTCTTATTTTGTGGTATATATTTTTCATATTTGTTGTATATATTTTTTTATATTTGTTGTATATTCTTTTTTTATATTTGTTGTATATTCTTTTTAACATAATTGTTGTATATTTTTTTTTATCGTTCCGATTCCCTTCTTTATTCGATGTTAGGCACGGTGGGCCGTATTGTTCCTTTTTGGTTTTACCACCTACTAAGGTACGGTTGCCACACAATCCACTAGGCGGCTCTTCCTGTCCTGGTAACACTGAGCGTATCTAGTGAATTACCCACACCACTTTCCACTTTACATATTTTTTATTATAGAGGGTGGCCGCTCGTAAACAAGTTACCGCAGCGGTTATCAAAATTTATACTTATTTATATTTGTAACACACAACCACCGCGGCGGTTTTGCCGCTTCTTTTGTCTCACTATAACCTTTTGCGCTCGTGAATTATATCACCGCAGCGGGTCGGTCACTTTAATTAATTATTTTTTCTCGTTCATTTGTCTCGGAATCGACTGGGAACGCATTTTCTTGTCATATACTTTTTTCCACAATTATTTCATTTTTTTTCTCTTTTTTAAAACAAAATTTTCCGTTTGGAAAAAAAATTTTCACACGACACACACAGTTTTCACCTCCCACTTTTTATCCTAGGGATCCTCATCGCTTAATGGAGAGGTCCCTGTTCGGGCGCCAGTTAAGTCCTTCCCGAGGGACCTCGCATGTCCCCGGGAAGGACCGACTCAATACCTAGACATTCCGGAGTGCTCGTGCAGTCCCAAGCGTAGCTCGTTCTTCACGATCGGTAGAGTTGCCCTTTATGTGTGTTAGTGCTCCTCCCAATGAATAGCGTCGGCCTTTAGAGTTCGTTATAATAATTCTTTATTTAATAAATCTAAGTTGATAAGTCGTCTTGGTTTGCCGGTCCAATTGGCTCTGCCCCCAGTCTTCTGCGTCGACACCTGCTAGAGCCCCGTGAGTCCGGTCCCGGCGTCGACGTCGGCGTCAGCGTCAGCGGCCGGCTGAAGTTTTGCCGACCTTGCAGTTCTCACCGTGCTCCACTTGCACGGCGAACGGTCAGCGTTCCCGAGCCAGGCCAGCGGATGTCGTTGTGCTGACTTGGCACGGGGTGCGGGGGGCAGTTAGGTCAGCGCCCGGCCGGCGCATGTTTCCGCGCTGCGTCGGCATCGCGGCGGGGGGAAGGTGAAGCCGGCCGGCCAGCTTGCTGCTGCTCCATCGCTGCTGGTACCATAACTTAGCGGATGCAGCCACTCGAATGTTTTGGTGTTGCTGGGTGGCCGAGAGGGGGTGAAGGGAAGGGGGCGTTTGGCCGGTGTTAACTTAAATATAAACTTAATTTTTAATGAAGAATCATTGATAACTTCCATAAACGACTGGAATTTAACATTGGCATTTGATCAATCATTAATTTGACTTTTCATTTAACTTTATTTTTGCAGAGATGTTTTTGGGGATTTTGGTTTTGAAAGCCAACAAAATTAAAACGTGGCTGTCACAAAGAGTTCTGGCAAGATTCGCCATTCTCTTCGAAAAATATTATAGCCCCAGAGTTCGAAAAGACTGTTTTCAACGTGTACCGTCTAGGACACAATTTTGCTATCGATAATTCTCTCCCCCTCGTGTGTATTTTTTTTGTCGAATCGAACTCGCATTTGTTATTCAAATTCAACAAACGTCCTTACAACAGCTTACGAAAAATTATCTGTTTTCCAAAAAAAATTGCACTACGTCAATTACAAATGTCTCCTAAATTCCTAAAAAAAAATACTTGACTTATTTACTTTACGCTGAAGCGGAGTTGTAGCAAGTCTTGCCTTTGCAGCGCATGTATTTAAATCAAATACTCTGATCGGTAACAGTTTCACTAGCCGAAACATAGTTTTCTTTGTAGTGTGACCGTAGTTTTTAGAGTTCACCCGCAATGCAAGTGGCATGGCTCTTGTCAAGCTGCTGAGTTTGTTGACAAATAGAAATATCAATTTAATCGATTTAAAAAAAAATAATTCGAATATTCAACATGCTTTTATATAAATTATTAAGTTGTGTGAATTACGCACGTCGGCTGCTGGTCCCACGCTGCTGTCCTGTATTATAGGGGCGGTGGACAACTTCTGGTCCTCCGTGTGAATAGCCGGTTGGCCGGTGTTTAGCTCCTCGCTAACTGATGAGTTACGAAGATTACGTTGGGAAGATGACTGTCTTCCTTTCACTACTGGCCTAGAGACTCAGTTAGTGTTCCAAGAGATAAGTAAGTTAACGACGGTGGTCGGAGTTATATTTAAGCATGTCTGTTCTTTATTGAAATCAGAGTGAAACTGAACTTAAGGCTAACAAAAATTGGAATCATAACGGCCACGCAAATATGCTGTGTTTGCCGGCTATGCATGGGCATCCGGCCAGACGCTGTGTCAGCAGTTTTGGCCGGAGCGAGCTGTCGAACGAACGGTCATTGCCGCCGCTCGGATAACTTAGTTAACTTTTATTTTAATTAGTTGTTTCAAGCATCGTCATCATATTCTTGGCAGCTTCTTGCCGACACATGTTGTTCAGCTCCGATTTCCAATGCGACTACTCGGGCGTTGAGAAAGTGGGAGCCGGAGCCCAGCATCCTGGCAATGAAGCAGATTTTTGTTCATGTGGATAATCCCTGAAGCGAACAGCTGATCGGCATAAGCAAAACTTATTTAAAGGGAGAGAACGTACAATAATGGGCAACAGTTTGGATTAGTCGTCCTTTTTCTCTCTGCATTTAATTTTTTACATTTTTAATTTTTTGGTTCCACACCGCTTTTGCACGAGCAAAATTTCTTATTTTTTGGACCGCAGCTAACGGCGTTCGTCAAAAATCAATCGTTAACGCAAAAAATTTTATTTATAAAGTCGTGTAAATTAAAAGTTGAAAATAAAGAAAATGACTGCCTATAGAAATTATAATGGGGTGAGGTAACGAATTAGACCAAGTATCCAGTGTTGTGAAGGTGTCAAAAATTGTTCTGGCAGCTCAAGGATAAGGGGGCGTTCTCCGTGGCCATCGACCGACACCAAGTCTGAAATTATTATAAATAATTACTGTATGCCGACAAATCCAACTATCGCGGTAGAACTCACTTTTGAGAGATCCGATAGGTTGGATCCAAGAAAGATCCACTCGTCATCTAGCTTTCTTTGCGTTCAGACGTGCTTAAAATTCTCGCTAAGTTACTTCCCCGCAGTCCCGAGTGCAATACCTATGTTACATTGGCACAGCTTCGCGCTTCGGATGCTGTTCGCTGTTCTTCTTTGTGCCGTCGCACTTATCATAATTCTTGCGTAGCCCTATCGGACGATGTGCTCAAACTTTTATTAAATCCAAACATACTATGGCAATGTGACAGCTGCGTGGTTGCAAATGATTCGCATTCTAAAATTGACGAATTCGATGACAAATTGAAAGCCCTGGAGCGCTTATATCAGGGCCTTCATAATAAATTCTTGGAAGATTGCATTGACTCAATCCTACGTCTTCCGCGGTCGTTGACCCTTCTGCTCTGGATATTGTGAGAGGAAATTTCATACAAGTTTAAAATAAGAAGAGAAGGAACAACAGCAAGCCCAATCCCAGCAAGCAAAAGGGCGATATTTCTATCGCCTGTCGTCCAGGAGTCACTTCTAAATAACTTCTGCGCAATAGAAAGACGATAGTACACATTTTACAAAAACAAAATATACATGTATCGCGTAGAAGTAACTTCTAAGTCCCTTCTGGACGATAGAAAGACGATAGTACATATTTTACAAAAACATAAAGGGTCGCGATCGCGAAGAAGTACCTTCTGAGACACTTCTGCGCGATAAAGCGGCGATAGAACACATTTTACAAAAACAAAATATACATATAACGCGTAGAAGTCACTTCTAAGTCACTTCTGGACGATAGAAAGGCGATAGTACACATTTTACAAAAACAAAAAGGGTCGGGATCGCGAAGAAGTAACTTCGGAGACACTTTTGCGCGAAAGAAAGACGATAGTACACATTTTACAAAAACAAAATTAATGGAAAAAAACAAGCCATAAAAAGAGGTCGCGGTAATTTTGCGTTACCCCTTTTTTTCTGAAAGTTTTTTGGTCTTCCTTTTGACCCACGCTATTGCGCGATTTGTCTGTGTACAGTGCGGTTTTGTATCAATTTTGTGCGTTTTAAAAATATTGCTTTGTTTTTTCTAAATGTTATTAATTGCTTAACATATTTAAATATCCCCCTTAACAAAAGGTGCGAAATTAAGTGCTTATCGTGAGCTGTACGATTATTTAAAGCTATTTACGGACAAGCTAGCTGTGGACATTACTTGGCGTGTAACTGCGGATCCAACGATTCTCAACATATTTCATTGTAAAAGGTAATGTCTTCTAGTTTATTTTTACTTTGACTGAACAAAAAATAATTTTTGTTTCTGTTTCCTTTAGAAATGGTTATTATTAAATTTCTTATGTCAACGGAGCTGGACCTAAATAACACTGTTTAGCCAAATTTCCTACATGCCAGGGACCGTGTATACAAGCGGACAAAGCCCTTATACAAATAATAAATGCAAAATATTGAAAGTATAAAAAAATATGTTTTTATTCAAGTTATTCCAATTGGGAAAGACTCTTCTAGATGTCTTCTACAAGCAAATGTAAAGTCACCTCGGAGTAACTTCCAGAAGTGACTACGGTGACACTTTTAGAAGTTACGTCGGCGATATCGCAATCGGATCGCGGAAGTGACTCCCGTCGGGAAGAAATGTGCCACTTCGGCGGCACTTCTATGAGTGACTTCGGCGACACTTCCAGAAGTTACTTCGGCAATATCGCATTCGGATCCCGGAAGTGACTCCAGTCGGGAAGAAATGTGCCACTTCGGCGGCACTTCTCGAAGTCACTTAATAGTGCCTTCCGCGATAGAAAATGCTTGCAGGGATAAACATGTTGTTGGAGGTGCTTCTAATGCAGAAGATCTTCATGTTTTGCCGACCAAGAAATTTTTGAAAGTCGGAAAATTTGCAACAGATAGAGAGCCGAATGCTGTTTTAAAATATGTGCCCACCAAGCTTAAGGTGGATGCTAATTCTTTCACTTGTTAAAAACTTGTAAAAAAATATGTTGTTTCAAGCTTGGTATCCCCGATCAGCTTTACGATTCAGTGTTCAAAAACGATTTCTGGCCGAACTCAGTTAAGGTCATAAGATTTATTCATAGAGAACGGGCCATTGTGGTAGGGGGTGGAACCTTATCCAATTTGCCGGAGCCTGGACAAACTTCAACATCAAGTCATCCATCGAAAAACCCCTACTGTTCGACGCTACTGGCGTTGATACTTTTGCGGGACATCTTCTGCAAGCCTTTCCTCATTTGTCGGAGGCGTTTTCGCAACAACATCGACAGCTGCTTGCTTTTCTCACTGCGCTCCCATCATCTTCTGTCTCTCTCTATAAGCGCTACATAGAATGCGGTGATACTGCAGACTTTGATCGTTACAAGCAACATAAGCGTGAGTTTGAGTTCCTTAATAAATTCTTATACAGCCAACATATTGCTAATATAGAGCGTACATAAATTACCAATCCTAAATCATTCTGGCACTTTGTCAATTCTAAACGAAAAACCTATTACTTTCCTTCCCATATGTCATTTGAAAGTCTTTCAGCTTCCTCGGATATTGGGGTCGCTAATCTATTCGCTAAGTACTTTTCATCTAACTTTGAACCTAGCTCGCTGTGGAATAACGATGATTATCTCAGTGTCATTGCCACGATGCTAAATATTGGGTGCTTAGATATCTCTGATTTTGACTGTTATATGGCAGCTGAGAGTTTTAACGACTCAGGAAAATTAGACTGCGATGGCCTTTCTCCATTTATTTTGAAAAACTGTATAGGTGTCCTTTGTGAGCCCCTTAAAATTATCTTTAATGGCCTATTTGCGCATGGATGGAAACTTGCCACAGTTTCTCCTATATTCAAGTCTGGTCACAAAAATATTGTTTCAAATTACAGGCAAATTGCAAAGCGAAGTAATGTCTCTAAAATGTTTGATCGATTTGTAGCTAAGCAGCTAACTTTTCTTGCTGGTCGGATCATCAGTCCTAACCAACATGGCTTTATGCCACTAGCTTAGCTACGTTCAATCTATTTTGCATCCACTCGTTTATCAGCCTTCATCAAGTTGATGTGGTCTACACTGACTTCGCCAAAGCATTTGACAAAGTCTCCCATAATGGGAAATTGGGATTTCATTCATCAATACTAAATTGGTTTAAATCTTATTTAGATGGCCCGATTTATAGAGTAGAGTAAAATGGTGTTTTCTCAAACCTGTATGTGGCAACTTCTGGCCTTCCTCAGGGAAGTGCATTGGGTCCGTTTCTTTTCATCATTTTCATTAATGATATAAGCTATTGCATAAAAAATTCTGAATTCATGTTGTTTGCTGACGATTTTAAAATATTTAGGTCTGTGAATTCAATCTCCGATAGTGAACTTCTTCAAAATGACCTAGTAAAAGTGGGAAACTGGTGTTCTCGTAATAAGTTGCCTCTGAACTTGACAAAATGATTTTACGTTAAACCTAGTACTCAGATCGACGAAAACAGCGAGCTAACCATAGGAGTGAGCGAGAGGCAAATACGCGGCTAACGCTTTTCGTCGGGTTTGTTTTTCAGCGCGGTACTCAGATGAGCTAAGGAAATACCAGAAAAAATACCAGATTTCGGGAGGGAATTTTCGATGAACGCGTTTAGCCGCGGCCCGAAGAATAAGAAATTTAATCTTTGGCGGTGTTCGTGCAAAGGCGATGTGGAAACTAAAAATTAAAAATGGAAGGAAAACCCCAAAATCGAATCAAGAAGGTCAGAGCAGATGAAATAGGACGCCAAATCCAAGCTTATGCTCTTTATTTCGGGATTTCACCGACAGGAAGCAATTCCACAAAAGGGGCAAATTCGCAGAATAGTTGAAGTGCTGGAGGAGATCCACTAGAGAATCGCAGAGGGACAGAACATGCCGAGTGGGACTTCGATCTCTACATGGACATCCTGCCGGGCGCGTCCTCGCAAAGAAAGTAAGATCTGGCCAAAAGAATTTGGTCGCGTTGTACTAATAGAAGTATCTTTTTAGCAGAACCACCAGTAATACGATCTCCGACGACCTCTCCATTAGGACTCAGGACACCACCACCACCCGCTGGACCCGCTAGGAAGAGGAAAATAGGGCGCCCGCTAAGGAACAGTTGCTGGAGTTGCAGCATCAGCGGATCAACCCCGTTCCCAATCCGGCTCTCACTTCCTCAAGGTCCAATATGCCTATTGAGACTCGGAGCTGGAATGCGGTGGAGCGGGAAAGATGGCGGAGCATCCGTGGGACGAGAATGAAGCTTTAAACTACTAATTTACATAAACAAAAACAGTCGTTGAACATTCAATTTATTTTTATTTAATTTATTTCTGTACCAGCAGACTCCTTTTTAAATTTCAATTTCAAACCCAACTGCTTGACAGTAAGACCATGCTACATGCATTGCGGGTGAACTTTGAAAACTTCGGTCACACTACAAAGAATAAGATTTTTCGACTAGTGAAACTCTTAGTCGATCTGAGTACTAGGCTTTAGGTACAGCAAACGATTAATTAATGTCCTTAGCTCGTGTTCCATTAGTTCCCATATTCTTTCATTAAGAAATGAATCCCTGGACCAAGGAGTTATGTTTGATACCAAATTTACTTTCATTGATCACATAAATTACAAAATTCCAAAGGCATACCCTATGTATGGGCTTGTAAAACGAAATTCCAAGCAATTTAAAGATCCGTACACGAAACTAAGCCTATTTTCTTCTTTCATTAGGTCCAGATTGGAAGATGCTTCGTTTGTCTGGAGTCCGACTGGTACTACTCACATCAATCGGACTAAGCGTGTTCAAAAAAAAATTCCTACCTTTTGTCCATATTTCTTTAAATTTTAATGACCCGGTCCCCTCTTACTCTGCTAAATGTTGCCTTGTACACCTTTCTTCTTTAAAAGATCGTAGAACAACTAGAGCACTAGTTTTGATTTGTGACCTGCTGTCCTCCAAAATAGACTGCCCTGCATTGCTGAGCAGCATAAGATTTCCGTGCCTGGTAGGTCTTTAAGGTCACTTGAACGCGCCTCTGTGTAGAGCCTTATTCTACTGGAACAAACTTCCATCTCACATGCGGCTGGACCCTTGCTCCCCCAGAGAATTAATTAAGAAAACCCTTTAAAATTACCTTTCGTCCCTTAGTATTTAGTTTAGTAATAGTCAAGTAGCCAACTAAGGTACCAACTGTTGGCGAAATAAATAAATAAAACTAAGTCGAGACATTACAATGTTTGAAATGAAAATACTTCAAGCAATAATTATTGAAGCTCGTCAAAATTTAATAAGGCACAACTTAACGTAAATATTAACTGGTTCGAAATTTCCAACGAACTAATTGGTGTCGTTCCATCTGAGGATATTCCTGTTACTAAAATTTGATTCTCAACTCACAAAGTTACTGGATAGTTCACGTTTTGAGTCCATAATCTATGCACTTCCTATACAAAGAAGTGGTATCACGATCTTAGTTCGCATATAAAGTTATTCATGGTGTTTTCCTTACAAGTAATAAACATTTATTTTAAGCTAATTAATATTTAGGCACAATAGTTGCAGCTCAGAAAGTACTGTATAATCGATTTACAAAAGATACTCATGGGCATGACCTTCAGGCGTTTTCACCAGCTCAGACATTGTCAGACTTTTTGCCTAACTTTCGGCGAAGCAGTAAGTCTGGATATTAAGGCATTACTATTTGTGATACAATTTCCAGAAAGTCATTGCTTTATTTAATTGCAATTTTAAATGCTTCATTTGAGCCAGTCTACGATTTTTCTGAAGCTAAAGTAAACAAATTTTCAAAGTCTCATGAATTTAGCAATCAGCCTGTAACGATGGCTCTTTGTTAAATTCATGAGACTTTGAAAATTATGGCTTATGAATTAAATTCATTTAAATTTATCGGCATTAACAGGAGTTTAGATCAAGTTATACGACAGCCATTATGGTTGCTGTTGATGACGAAGTGATCTTATCAGAATGTGACTTATACAGTTATAATTCAGATCTGAGTTGTGACCCTTTGGACAACCAGGGTGCTTATGGTCGTTTAATTATTTCTTTTACAACATGAAATTAAAACGGATTGTATTTTTTATAGGTCGTGCAGTAAGGTATGTATAATTTGTTCTTGCCTATAAGAAATGTTATGAATTACTATATTTCAGTTCTCTTAACACTTAAAAAAATGCTGTCGCCTCTTTTTAAAAATGCAATATAGATCTTTTTCGAACCAGTTGACTGGAGATTCCAGAATGACTTATAGCTGTAATTGGTTTGATTGCATATTTTCCTATCAAATGTATTCTAAAAATCGGTTTGGAGAGCAAAATCTAGTTAATAAATATTTAAAATAAGATAGTTTGATACTAAGAGTAAAAATCAATTTTATATACAAAATAAACACATTTGTAGTAAATAGATGTCCTTTTTCATTGACTCGAATAATCTTCTATTATTATTCTAGCTCTTTTGCATGTTACTTCTAATCTATATTTACTTTCCTTACCATAGTCATCTATATTAACACATGGGTTGAAAAGACCCGGGCCTAACAAAGAAAACACGGTGTTTTTGATTCAAAACTAGCTTTATTCATCAACGTAATCTCGATCAAGCGCAACGCAATAATTCCAGCGCCGCTCTAACATTTCAATACCACTTTTGTAGAACTATTTATCTTTAGCCACAAAATAGGCGAGCATTTTTTTTACGTTTGCGAACAGCCAGTAGTCGCTGGGAGCCAAATCTGGCGAATACGGTGGATGTGGGAGCAATTCGAAGTTCAATTCACGCACTTCCCAAAATACCGAGGCCATAACGTTTCCAGCCGATTGTTGTGCATTCGGGCGCTTTGGACGAGGATCACCAGTTGCTGTCCACTCAGATGACGACCGTTTTGATTCCGGAGTGAAGTGATAGATCCAAGTTTCATCGATTGTCAGATATCGATATCAACACGTTCTTGTTGTTGGTCAACAGTGAGCAAACGCGGCACCCATTTTGAACAGAGCTTTCTCATAGACAAATGCTCATGCAATGTAAAGCCAACACGTTCTTTTGATATCTAACTCAGGCAACTTCACTTTTCGATCATTCAAACGATTTTGTGGATTTTCTTGATGTTTTCTGGTGTTACCACCTCATTTGGACGTCCACTGCGTTCTGTATCATCTACGCCCACGTTTGAAGTCAGCAATCCAACGTTTTATTGTTGTTTCTGATGGAGCGGAGTCCCCATAACACTCTTAGCACTATAACTCACAAACTAATGAATAGAATATCATGAAATTTTAACAGTTGTCTTTTGAAGGTTAGTATTAACTGTAAAAAAGGTGACTGCAATAAACTAGCGCCATCTATGTGTTAGGCCCGGGGCTTTTCAGCCCAAGTGGTATATATGGTTTCTATATTATCTATACTATCAAAATGTTTTGGTAAATTATTTGTTTTACCAAACACTAGGTCATACGGACAATAATTATGTGCCATTGAGGGGATAGTGTCGAAACAAAAAACAAAATATTGAAGCCATACGTCCCAATCAGTTTTATCAGCGCATGTATGTTTTATATGAGCGTATGTATTCATTGTAAGTTCTATGACTTCGTTCTATTGTTCCGACTGTCTGGCGGTGGTGTAACGTAGATGTTATATTTTAAATTTTTATGTATTTGCACAAATCATTTGTAATTCAATTCTTATATTCTGTACCCATGTCCGTAATGAACGACTTCATTGGACCGCACTTCAGAATAAATGATTCAAAAATGGCTTTAGCGATATTTAGTTAAGTCACATATGGGAGTGGCTGCATATTCATTGCCATTTTCTGATTTTGGTAGTGGACCAACAGTGTCCACCATCACTCTGTCGAAAGCATTTATAGGCGTATCAGTTATTATTAATGGGGTCTTATTGTGCTTAGTTATTTTAGCTTTTAGGCATTTCTGAGATTTTTGTATGTACTCAATAATATCTCGAGTCATACCTTTCCAAAAATAATGTCTTGACTTTGGCCAAGGTTTTTGCAATGCCTGTGTGACCTCCTTGTATTGGATCTTCATGGAATTTAGGCAGTACAGCTTCTATCTCATCAATATCTAACTGGTTCATCATCTTTTACTCTCAGTTTTTGTTTATAAAAATTATTTGTGCTTATTGGTTCGGTGTTCAATCCGAAAATATCATTATATTGGGTGCATAAGCTTGAATGCTGTGATTTGAATTGTGGAGGAAAGTTTTTTGAAAGTTGAGATAATACATATTTTTCTCTATTTTCTAGAGTAGTTTTGACTACTTCGTAGTTCGAAAGTGATTCATAGACTAATTTATTTGTACAGACTACTTGATCTTTATTTTTTGATTTGGTTACCTCTTAACTTATTCCTTTTATGTCATTAAATACATAAGAATTTTCTTTAACTATTGAAATATATGTGGGATAATACAAATTTAGTTTATTTTGGGAAAAGTTACAGAATGATACTTAAAACTTTAATGCACGAATTGTTTCTCT